ATATATATGTATAGCCTATCTCTCTTTATCTCTCTCTCTTCTCTCTCTCTCTCTCTCTTATCTCTCTCTCTCTCTCTCTCTCTCTCTCTCCCTCTCTCTCTCTTTCTCTCTCTCTGCCTATGCGCAACCCATGAGAAGAGTGATACTAGCCAGAATCTTTGTTGTTGTCATCATCGTTGTCACCGTCGTCGTCGCCGTTGTTGTTGCGGTTGTTGTTGCTGTTGTTGTTGTTGTTGTTGTTGTTGTTGTTGCGGTTGTTGTTGTTGTTGTTGTTGTTATTGTTGTTGTTGTTGTTGTTGTTATTGGGGACATTGTGGTAGTTGTGATGGTTGTATTGGTGGTGTTGTTGTTGTTGTTGTTGTTGTTGTTGATGATGATGATTATGATGATGATGATGATGATGATGATGATGATGATGATGATGATGACATCGAGGGGAAGGAAAGCCTTCGATGCGAAATGTGAAGCGGTTTTAGTTCCAACTCGATCAAATGTTACTAACAATGATGTTGTGATTTACAATAAATTATGTTATTACCCCAGCAAACCCTAGAACTCTCAAAAATATTCTTGGCTTCCTGGGAAGCCTACAGGATGATGATGATAATGATGATGATGAGGAGAAGGAGGAGGAGGAGGAAGAGGAGGAGGAGGAGGAGGAGGAGGAGAGGCAGGAGGAGGAAGATGTGAAGGATGAAGAGAAGGAGAATAACAACTATAAAATGGAAAGCTGACAGCAACGATAGATACGAAGCTGGTAATCATGATTGTATAAAGAGCAAATTTTAATGCTTCGTCTACATATATGTGAACTCGCTTAACACCTTGCTATAATAATATAATACATGTGTATGTGGCATCGTGGTGAAATCAGGTGCTCGCCCTAATAACGAAATCGAAAAAAACCGAAATTTTTCCGCCCCATGTGTTATTTCTATCGATTTACAGGGTGATCAAAAAAAAACATTACAACTTTTTTTCTGAATATCTCGCCCAAAAATTGTTCTAGAATGCTGCAAATTTGGAACAGACATAATTCATTCAAAAGGAATTTGTTTGATATAAAATCCACGAAGAAGAATCATGATTTGAAAACGGAAACGGCTAAAAGAAAAATGCACCCAAAATCGCAAAGTTCACCAATGTTTAAAAATCTTGTAAAGGAAGTCGTGAAAAGATTAGTTGACCTTTTTCTTTATTTTCTCTTTGACATTAATTTTCCTTCCCTGTAACATTTGAACAATATTTAATTTCTTTTACAGAGTTTTAAAAACCTAATGATTTCATTCTGAAATTCCTAGAAGCAGTGGTCCACATTCCCTTCTTTGGACTCGACACATTTTTAACGCGTCTTTCGAAATGTTCAGTGGCGCCCTAACACAAGGGCCTGCTAAACCATGAGTTTTTAAAGCCACATACACTGTACATGTTCACTAAGAAGTGGCTTCTTGAGACAATAGAGTGGGGTGCCCAATAGACATCATTTTTGGAGTTAACATATCCCGCTGGGTGAAAATGAGCTTTGCACTAAACCAAATGTCATCGAGGAAATGATCCTCTTTACAAGACAATCGATGAAACATGAACGCATTACCATGGTCTGATCCATGTCATCTCGGCCTAGCGATGATGAACATTGTATAGTCAAAGGTTAAGATCTGCCATGAGAATGCAGACTGTTGATGTGAAGGAAAGTCCTAGCTGCAGATCATCCACGGACAGACGTCTCATGGGACTCGGCTACTGAAATCCGCACTCTGGTGACTTTTAAAGGGCTGTCCATGGTGCGTGTTCGACCTGAGGTGATCATTTTTTAAAGAACTTTTTAGTTCTGATTCGCTATAGATCCAAACTGACGGAACATCTCTACTCATGACGCCAAAGGTCTTGAGGGCGCCTAAGCATTCTCTCCAGGCCGTGCGCAGAACTTACGAAATATCAGGAATAGTGAGTTTCTGGACAGGTAATGTCCAATACAAAAAGCTCTCTCCTCTTTACTAAACGTAACCATGATCTAAGCAGGCAAACTAAATTTTGGGAAAATAATATCTGCAGACTTCTGTTGACTTGTTAGACTGCTGTAGCTTGCCATATGGTGCGATTGTTGCAACTTTTAGTGGTAGGTCTTATGAAAACTGATGCGTCATGCTATGAAAATGGTGACAATGTTGAAAATGGGTTGGGTTTTTTTAATGTGCTATATAAAGCAAAACCAATCAATGGACTTATCTAAAATACTTATCAAACAAATTCTTTTTGGCTTCCAAACGTTATGTTCAAATCTGAAACGCAAAACTTCAGTACGGAAGAAGATATTTACAAAACAAGTTGTAATGATATTTTTTGGATCACCCTGTATTTCTCAGCACCATTTATTACTATTCAGAATACATTTATGCGTGGATTATAACTTTAAAACGTTGATAAAGGACATCACATCATGTAAATTTACAGTTTTCAAAGACAGTCCAGCTTTGGAAATCAGTTAACTTTGGTGGCCATTTTCTCGCTAAGTTTACATCTAACACCGGGTGACCCCCCCCCCCCCCCACCCCACCCCACCCCACCCCATCTTCCTCAATTGCAATATATCGACCTCAATTCTAGGTGGACGAGTCATTTTTTTTATCAAAAGCAAAATGAATTAAAAAGATTAAAAATGATTCCACTCCCACCTTATACACAAAAACAACAACTGACGTGCACCTGACTCTACCTCGTCGTGTGACATATATTTGTACGACGCACTTAGGAGCAGTGAGCAGGTGTCTGTGGTGTAGCGGTTAGGTCCTTTTGTCACACACACACACACACACACACACACACACGAGATCTGAGCTCGACTCTCGAGTAGGGATAATTTTTATCCTGTATCTTGGTCTTTCTGCTTTGATTTTGCATCCCTTCTAGTCCGGGTTGGCCCTAACAGACAGGGTCGAAGCCTGCCTCATAGTTGATCTAAATTGTGTCGATGGGAACTTAAAACCATCTTCATTTACATTTACAGGAGAAGTGGTAGCCCGCCAGAAGCCCAGCAAGTATCCCTTCTGTGATATCTGCAAGCTGGTGAACAGGAAACACAGAGAGGCCAACAGCAAATGTATCGACTGCAACAAACTCTTGTGCAAACAGTGCGTGGATATACACAAACAAACAAAGGTAAGAGTGATTTTTGGTACTATTTTGCGTCCTGCCTATGCCTTAACACTAAAGTGTTCATGGGCAAGACTAGTGCAACAAACCAATAAAAGAAAAGAAAACATACTAACAAAAGAACTCGATTTTGTCAGATTCGTCGCTATGCGTTATGATGGCAGTTTTATCACCATTAGCGGAAGTATACCGGATGTCTAATAATGGATCCATTTAAAGGGCAATAATTCGGTTATCTTTGGACCAATTTCAACAAAATTTCGAAAAAAATATAATAAAATTCAGCCATTAGGACTTTATATTTGTCAATAATATGAAAGAAATCACCCAAGGACCGCTCTTGGTGTGTAGGGTGTGGCCCCATCCCACTGGAACCAGGCTTCTACAGCACAACACCTTTTCCGCAAACTTCTACGAAACTCTCAGCACAATGAGATATTAATATGATGTGACTTTCGTGCTTTTAGGCTACCGTCCTTGTCCTGAAACCAGAACTACGCCACTGTTGCTGAACATTGTTAAGAAATAAAATTTTGCGTTTTACCCAATTTTGGTTGAAACTTTTTAACTTTGACATTTCTCAAACAGATCCATTGATTTTCTTCAAATATGCATTTTTTATGTCTCCTTGATTGAATTCTATTTGTTCTAATTTTTGTTGAAATTAGTGAAAATATGGCTGATTTATTGCCCTTTAAGTCGGTCCTTTTTTGGACACCCTGTACTTCACTTTAGGAACATGACATAGAAATCTATCTTGGAACAAAAACAACTCAAGCAGGCAGAGTTGCAAGAAACAAAGTGTTAATTTGCATGAAGGTCTGAGAGGCAACGTTCAACTACTTGCAAGGCAAAGAAAAGCTAAGAAGGAAGAAGGAAGATACTTAACTGACAGAAACGTTGATGTGTATTCGTTGTTGTTTTTTCAGGTGACACAGAATCACAGTATGTTTGACGTAGAGATTGAGAAAGACATTGAATGTAAAGAGCATCAGGACGAGGTGGTTCGCTTTTACTGTGAGCCCTGCCAGACCTGCATCTGTGTTCTATGTACCTTCAATGAGCACAAGGTTTGTAAATACAGTATATTATTATTTATAATCAGTGGTGATAATATGATGATTGGTGGTAAAGGGTGACACTTGTGCGTCCTGATTTTTTCTGATCCTTTGATATTCCTTTTGTTCTGGTAATTATTTCTCCAACACACTTGACAATGGGTTTCATTCTTAGAAACCCCCTTTTAAATACAAACAATATCTGAGCAACAACAAAATATAAACCTAAAAGAATCCCTTACGTTATTGTCCAGCCTTTTTATTGGAATAAAAGTAACTTTCTAATAATAATATATATGACATTGAAATCGTCTGTCATCTTGACCCCCCCCCCCCCTTTTACTAACCTTGACGTCCCCTTCATTATCCTTGATCTCTCCCACTGACCTAGACCTCTCCCCATCTGACCTTGACTTCTCCAGGATCACGAGATCAGCCAGTTCACAGACGCCGTAACCAAGTACAAAGAGAACATCCAGGACCTGCTGTCCAGCTGTAAAGGAAAGATAGACGTCTACGATCGACAGCTTGGTCTGCTCAATAAATGTGAGACTGTTATCAAGGTGAGAAAGTCTGAGATTCGTTTTTATTATTGTCATTATTGCTTTTTTTCATGATTACTCTTCTCAATGTCATTATGGTTGTTGTAGTTGTCATCCTCATTATCATCATCATCATCATCATCATCATCATCATCATCATCATCATCATCATCATCATCATCATCAATCATCATCATCAGTTTGTTTTCAGTTGCACAAAAGCACGTACGACAATGGAAGAAACAAATTATTCGCATAGCCTCAGAAAAGTTACACTTTATTAATTATTTTTAAAACTCAAATACACACAATAAATAGAATGTCAATCCCCTCCCCCCCCCCCCAAAAAAAAAGAATAAATGAATACATAAATACATAAATAAATGAATCAATAAATAAATGAATCAATACATAAATAAATCAGTTAATAATAAATTATGGACTATCTTTTGGGATTTTCATTTCTTTTCAAATCAGTCAGCAGAGCAGAAAATCCGTGACGCAGCCATCCAGTACATAGCGGAGATCCGGAACAAAGAGAAAACACTGATCGATGACCTACACGTTCTGTACGGGCCAGAACTCATGGAATACGTGAGCAGGAAGAACGAAATGCAGAACAATCTAGACGGACTGAAGAGCACGTGCAACCTAACAGAGCTGGTGCTGAAGGGGAAAGACATCGAGCTACTGTTGCTGAAGAAACAGGTGCAGGAGAAACTGTCGGTTATGGCTAACGTAGAGCTGAAAGATCTACCGTCGACGGTTGGAAAACAGGTGGACTTTGTTCCCGGGAAGCTGGACTTTGGCAGACTCGAGGACCCGAACAAGCCTTTTGATAAAAAGCCGGCCGCGGACGAGATACGGAGAGAGGAGACAGGGCGAGTCACTTTGCCAAATATGGTTTTCGGACGACATCGCGACCGTGACATTATGGACGAGGTCAAGGTCGAGAAGGTACCCAAACGTACGACAGAGACACAGACTGAAGCCAAGGCAGCGACTTCTTCTAGTGGAGCCAGACTGGTCAACCGGTATATACAGACAGAGTTTCCGGAGTCCAGCTACGAGAGGTGTCGGGACTCCTCTAACAACAGCAGGTAACTATCCTTTCTATCGTGTTTCTTTCAAATTCATCCAAATTGTCTTTTCTTTCATGCTTTTTTAAAGTTAAATGCTGCCCATATAATATGTACCTAAAAAACAACTTCACGTCCTTTTAAGCACGAATTTAATGACATGAATCAATCAAGCATAGCACGAAAGTCTATGAAGTCATGATTTGGAGATCTCATTTCACCCAGGTGGGAATGGGTACGCGGCCATAGACAGCCAAATATTTTGTCAATATGTTGGTGTTTTAGCGCCTGTAAAATGGCAGCTTGCACTGTATGCTCCTAAGGAAGTTGAGATTTTTTCACATGCTATCAGGTCTGCTGGGGTAATACTATAGATTGTTGAGCGGGTATTTGCGTTAAACAAATTATGCTATCTATTATCTATAATTCTTTTATTGCATAGAACAATAAAAAAAAATACATGTACCTGAAAACCAACTTTACACCCTTTCAACCACGAATGAAGCCCAATTAATCAAGCGCAATACAAACGGTCTATGATCTCTAGATCTATAATGCTTGTATCGTTTAGACATTGAGTAGAAATTGTTGTTGGTTATAGTTTGGGTCATCTGTCTCATTGGAGTTTAAAAACCGCGTATCGCTCTCTCATGGGGAACCTCAAATCAATAATAATATATTTGCCCATCATGTGAACCAACATCAAACTGCATACTTGGAAAATGGTTTGAGTGGGGTCCTTTGTTTTTATGCTACTTCAGTATTAAAGTATGTAAATATATTGATTAAAAAAAACAAACAACAACAATAAACCAACTTTTGTATGTTCTGCTTTCAAACGACCCTGATACAAATGTTAAAACGCTAAAAAGCTAATACATAGTGACAAAACTGCTTCGAGAATTTGATCGTGTAGCTGAGGCCAGAGCTTTCGCGCCATAAAGTACGATTCATAATAAAAACAATCGTCTTTGGAAGCTTGATCGCCTTAGTAAAAACCTTAGGTGCGGTTTACATTCATTCCTGCTTTATTACTGGCAATACTAATGTGACCATTGCTATTTTCTGCTGAGGCAATATTGTTGCATATTATTATGCTGATGTTGTCCTATTGAAACACCGGATCGTATTAAAAAGTATAAAGATCTCTCTGTCAAGTAGACGTCGTGAACAATTCTATCATAATCGTAATGTCTGGAGAAAAAAAACCGCAATGTGGATAGTGGGAAGTGGTCATTTGTACCGGTGATTGTCTTGAACAGGTGGCCATTTGAGCAGGTAGAGCAGGCTTGACTCTAGTAACACTACATTTATCATGCTCCAGACTACATTTTATCTGTCCATGTTTGCACGTTGTAGTTGTTAGATAAAAACAAATCTGCTCACATTCTATTGCAAAACAAACATGCTGGTCTGAAGATAAGGCTTTGTCGTTGTTGTTTTTGAGTTGTTTGCGGGATTTTTTAAATATATTTTTTTTATTTGATTATTTTTTGGTAAAAGGCGGATTTTGGGGGGTATTTTTAACTTTTGAATTATTTTGTTCTCATATCTGGTGAAAAGCGAAATCTCGAAACTGTTTGAGAATAATATTCTTTATCAGTTCTAGATCCTTATGAAAGTAATAAAACTTTGTGAGTCACAAAGTTCACATGACATTGGTAATAGGTAGATGAGCTTTGAAAAACATTTTATTCCTTTATGATTTAAAATAGGTTTACGTAGACGAATACATGCATTTAAACAGCCAGCCTCCTCTTCTGACCTGCACTGTTTTCAGCCTTTGCCTACCACCCGCCCTGCTTCCGCCTCTGCCTGGCAAACCTATTTGTGAAGATTTGGAGGGATGAAAATATACTATATCGTCTTCCTATAAGAACCTCTTCTCTTTGACCATATATTACGTCGTTAAGTTTTATGTATTCTTTTAACTACATCTATTTTTTGTCATAGAAAGAAAGTTGAATTGAAACATAATAAATAGGCAACCATTGTTACACAGCATATAATTATCATAAAAGTTGAGTAGAACCCTATTCCTACGGACGCACTATTAGCCCATTTGATATTATATTGAACTACGGACCAGATTGCCTTGGTTCGAATCGTTTAAAGATGCGTTCTGAACCCAAGTTGTTTGGGGGAGTCTAGAAGGCTCTCCACCCATTTACCTTTCTCCTTCTTTTGGAGCTGAACTTTAAATTCGGAGGTGCCCAATCGCTACCCCAGAATTACAAAGCTCTATCTTCTCTGTACCTTGTTTTGAGAATTTTGACGTTAAAAAATTGAGTTTCACAACTAGAAAAGCTTTTTCTGGTGCAATTCTTGAATATCTTAATAACAATTCCTTATAATCTAACGAATCCGATAGCGCAGAAAGAACATTTGGTTTCTGACTTCATGGTCGTGGTAACTCAAAACAGCCAAAAGTCATATAGAACTTTGTAATTCTAAGGTAGAGAAGTGTTAGATAATCTTACAATGTTGAAAGGGGATTTAAGCCTTACAAGATATGGCATTTCCCACGTCCCCATGTGATGATATCATCACATGGTATCTACGAAGTAGACACTTTCCTACCCCAACCCTTATAGCACCATCCTTGGAACATACAGAAGAACCCAAGCTAATCATGTACCGTAATTCACGACCGTCTTTAGGCACTACACTAAAAAAAATTGCTAGTTCATAAAAATATAAATTATCAGTTATCTTTAACAACCTGAGCTGAGTACAAAATGTAATTGATTAATTCCTCTTCGTTGTCTACGCAAAGACTGTGTTTTCTTTGAATTTCGTCGTAAGGCCAAAAGCAAAGTTGTTGTTGTTGTTGTTGTTGTTGGTGTTGTTGTTGTTGTTGTTGTTGTTGTTGTTGTTGTTGTTGTTGTTGTTGTTATCGATCCAGCAACAGCTGGGCTCTCGCCCTTGTGTCCAATGGCATGTAGTGATAAGTGCAGGTCTTCTGCAGTTGCTGTAATGTTCCATAGAGTGTGTTGTCAATGTTAGGTCTCGGAGGGAGAAGGGGAAGCAAAGTAAAATGCTTGTTCCCTGTGCCTTCAGCAAAGCGTAATATTAAGTAAAGGGCTATCATTATTTATTGCGTGCAGGGCAGGATAAAGATTGAGATTACACAGGTATGGGAATGGAGGGAATGATGGGGACACGAAATTTCTGTTTGAAAAGTATACCATCAACAAGCATTTCAACGCTTCTAAAACCAGAAAATAAAATTTCTGAGGAGAATTTTAAAAACAACCTCTTTAAACGATTGTACCTACTTTTACCTACTTTTGACCAAAAAAATTGCTTACGTATTTCAGTACAAATGAATGAAAAGTGTTTAGAATATCATTGGATAGGTAGTGTCATTTCTGTTTATTGTTTTTGTTGTTGTTATTGCTTTCGTTTTTACTGCTGTTGTTGTTCTCGTTTTTATGCGGTTTGGACATGTTATATTTAAATTTATTTCTTTTTGCTGATTGGTTGATTTGTCCATTTCCTAAAATGATAAGCCTATATTATTATTTTCTGTGCCATTGTTATAATATTCATTCACTTAGTCATTTTTTAAACCATGATAACATTGTTTATAAGTTAGTTACACAATTTTCTCAGTTTGGAGGACGGAAGTGTTTTACGGCGCTCTCAAAATGCATAAGGTCATACGAGCGCGCGAGACACATTAGACATTTTCAGCTGGGTAGGGATTTTCTTGGGATTAGGGGTGTTTCCAAAAATCCTAGTATTAGATGCTGGATATGAAAGTGTGGGAGGCATATCTGTGTTTAGCCACTCCCCCCGGTTGCTAATGCGCATGCGTACTGCTCCCGGCAGCATGGGACGCTTCAGCGTGGGCCTGGAGACTCGCTCCACCGAGACTGACGTCATCAATACGCTAGAGAAGGCCGTCAACACGCGAACTTCACGAGGCCTGCAGGCCATGACGCACCACGGGCCGAGAGGGGCGGAGTCAACTCGCGACGAGTCCCCGCCCACTATGGTGGAGAGCAGCAGCGGATTGGAGCTCTCCAGCTCGCCCGCCCCTCGACGCCATAGGAGGCGGAGGGAACGCGTGAAGCCGGTCGAAGTATCCGTCCGGCCGACCACTGGTTCTTACAGCCACCAGGCGTCCTCTGACGGGTATGATGACACGATGATTACGATTCCCCCCTCGGTTGAGCCCTCTTCCCCCTCCTCCCCTCCCTCGAAACCCTCTTCATCCTCCCTTCCACAACAAGACAACAGCAACGACAACAGGAATACGTTTTTCTCTTCTTCTTCGGTTTCAAATTCCGACACTACTCCAGGTTTTGCTCCCGTTTTGACGTACAGCAGTAGTATCGACGATAATATTTTCAACGATTCCTCGAATAATGATAACGCGAACGAGGAAGTTATTGAATTCATAGCTAGTATCGATTCCCCGGTGTCTACTGTTGTTGCTACTTTCGGCTGCAGCAGGGAATCCCCAGAAAGTAATAACGACACAGAGACCCCAACTCGTAACACGATCGCTACGAATACAAATACTCGCAGCCATTGCAGTGTTTCCACTTCCCCTCCTCGATACAGACGGCAATACCGAAATCAGTCGCGAGAAACGGAAATTTCCTAAACAAGTTGTAAATATTTGAAGTTACTAAAAATAACATGATCCCAACTTACAAGTGTGGTACTTATTACTCTTAAATTAAAATAATGCGCGTACCTCTTTTAGTTGAGGATACTTTGCCGATCCAACGGCCATCTAAGTTCAGGCCCATCAGTCTGAACAGTCGAGAATAAATAAGACAGCTTTAAAGTCCTCTACGGTGGAAGAAACAACTAGAACAATAATACCATAATACCTTACAAGGCCTTTATGCATTTATTACAGGAGGAGGAGGAGGAAGAGGAGGAGGAGGAGGAGGAGGAGGAGGTTGGAATTAAGGGGGAAGAAAGGAAGACAAAGAGCTGTAATATAAAGTAGATAATTTGGAAATATGACACAATTGCATGCCAAAGAATCATAATTATGTTGCACAAATAACTTCCATTCACTTTCCAAACCTAAGTAATCCAGAACTCTATACCCAATAATATTGTTGCTTAATGAAAGTTTCACGTATATACTTAGCACCTATACACATTTTGAATAATGTTGACACGCTCCCCCCAAAATGCACAAATGCTATTAGAAACCACAAACCGTGCGAAAAAGGCATATTATTATACACAAATCTTTATTCTTATTCTTGTTCACTAAATTAATGGCAAAGCACAATGGTCAAAAGTGCCTTGAGTATTTTTTTTTCTTGTTTTATTAAGCCTTTCTTTGTTGATTTACATTTTTTCAATTCTATATTTAAGTCCATCTTTCTTGACTTCAGTTCACTCCGCCCCCCCCCCCCCCCTCAAATCCAGCTTTATCCTAAGCACAAACAGGCAATACACTCTACCTGCAGCCGCCCCTCCCTCCCCCTTACACTAACCTTCCACCGTCCTCTGTCTGTCCCTCTATATCTGTCTCCCTTCGCCACCCCTATATACACCTCTCGCTCTCGATTATATTATGCTTCTCTTCATCCTTCTTTGACATGGTTTGATTTAATTATCTCTTTTTCTGCAACATGATATCGTTTTTCACAAAATAATGACTGATTTGTGATAATATTTCACTTTCTGTCTCCATTACTTATTAACTGACAGGCTGGGCTGGTGTTATAATATACTTTTCCTTTCAACCCTATCAATAAGTTTTCCATTTCCTCCAGATTTTTTGTCAAAACTATTTTTATATCGGTATTCCTTTTTTCCCTGAATGTGTGTCACCACCCCCCCCCCCTCTCTCTGTCTCTCTGTCTCTCTGTCTCTCTGTCTCTCTGTCTCTCTCTCTCTCTCTCTATCTCTCTCTCTCTCTCTCTCTCTCTCTCTCTCTCTCTCTCTCTTCTTTCCCCTAGGCCCACGGCCGTACACTTTCTTTTACACTTTCGTATTCCTATCCGTCTCTCTCCCCCTTTCCTGGTCTTCTGTTCAACACAGGGGAAATCAGTCAAATCAAAGTGCCTCTCACACTTGCACGTTCACAATCAAGCTGTGCTCAGTTCTTTTGCCATTGCGCACCACCACCTCCCCCCCCCCCTTTGCCTCTATACACATCACAATATAATTATTTTATTTATTGATACTTCCTATCTTTTTTAACCAAAGACAAAACTGTAGATAATATGAGAGTGTTTCTATTAATTTCACCATTCAAGCCAGTCAAGATTTGTTTGTCAGAAAATGAAATTACCTTCCTTTCTTTATGACATAGAATATTATTCTCTATTGTCCAATTTTATATGTTTACTAAGATTTCGATTCATAATTAATGCCAAGTCTTCCTTACTTGAACGTTGCAATTTTGTCAAGATAAGACCTTGTGGCTCAGTCATGCTACTTGATTAATTTGTTAAAGAGGCTCCAACTGTCTTTAATATAATTTAGGTGCTGTGTAAGCAAAGATTTCAACCAATAGTATAACGATAAGAATAATTAGATACTTGTTATTAACCACGTCATTATCACTATCACGTTTCTGCTATGATGCATTTTATTTGTTTGTGTAGGCTTTTGTTTTAAATCATTGGCCGTGTTGACTATGACGTCACGTGTATGTGTATATGTATGTGTACATGTTTGTTATTCTTGGCTACACAATGTCGTGTCCAAATGTTCGGGGGTTCGGACTTTGCTCTGTTTCAGAGAGTAAAGTACACGCTTTTGAGAGTTAAGGTTTGCCGTAAGTCTCTCTTTTTTATGTTTTACAGTAGCTTTGGTCACTGTTTGTGTCCGTGTATGTTGTCATAATATCACGTGAGCACCACGGAGCTACTGTAAACCGTTTTGTTTTGTCATCAAAGTAATTGATAGGTAGTGAACCTCCCCCTCCCCCTCTCAGTGAAGAAATCGATTGTCTAATAGTTAATTTTTGGTACCGAGCCGTTCTTCTTCTTGCAAATTTGCAGTGGTACGTTGAATTAGAGTTAGTTTTAGTGCTACTTTTTCTCCAGCTTTGAATAATATGCAAGTGTGTGCATATGTGTTTGCCCACATGTATGTTTGTTCATTTGTGTCAGTCAGAGAGAGAGAGAGAGAGAGAGAGAGAGAGAGAGAGAGAGAGAGGGGGGGGAGAAAGATAAAGAGAGAGAGGGAGAGAGAGAGAGAGAGAGAGAGAGAGAGAGAGAGAGAGAGAGAGAGAGAGAGAGAGAGAGAGAGTATGCGTATATCAGATCATTATTTAGAATCGTTTTATATGTAAAATATACATATAAGTAGATTCGAAGTAGTATCTTCTTATACTTTCAACTAATACAGATAGCAGTAAAATACATTTTTATTCATGGTAAAAATGAAAAAAGTAGTGACAATATCCAGCACAACTGTCTGTTTAACTTTAAATTACCAATTGTGTTACAAAAGTTGCTACCTGTGGAGCATAGACAATCGTTTTCTTTTTTTCTCCCATCTAATTTTAAAATTTACGTAACTTCGAAGGTTTTACCGTAGCTCCTGCACGTGGTTTTGTCCAACCCGCTGTACTCTAGCTACTGCAACCTATAATGTGCTCATGACCCAGCGTAACATTTACAGAGTTGTCCTCCCTGCTCCCAGCTCAACCCACCAACCAATCGTTGCCTTAGTTCTCGTATGTGACGTCATTGATCCGTAACCATAGCAACGTTTGTTTTTCTAACTCCCATATGTTCCTCATTTGTTGATAGTCGTTTGCTTTTCTTATAGCCAGGAGTGTAATAAGGCAATAAAGCGATGTTTGGTAGCCTCCTATGCCCCTCAGCAGAAGGTTCACGCCGCTTCTCAACAACATTTTTGGCCAGTCATTACATTGAAGTTTACAGTTTTAGTTCCTCAAAATACGTACAGATGGGTATGCTTCCAATAGGAACAAAATATTGTTTTTTTTTAAAGAAAAAAAAGGAGGAAAAAAACTCTCTATAACTAGTTCGTCTTAAAATTATAATTCATTAGAAGGTATCTGCCAAACACGTTAGAAGATTGAGTGATCGCCACAAGGAAGATATTATCTAGACTCATTCTTGTTTAAGCACTTTGTGACTCTAGTCACAGGAAACAGACTGTGACAAGAGATAACAACTTCTACTGACGCGTGGAATATTCTGGCAACTCTTATTAAGTAGCTATGGCGGATCAGATTTGGATAATAGGACTAAGGGGTTCGGTGTTCCCGTTTTCATCACTGTAATACAAACATAGAAAACAAATTCTCTCGACAATAGAAAACCACAAAGCTTCTTCTTGACTTCAAACAGTACTCTTTCGAATGAATGAATGCATTTATCGAAACTTTACAACAACAAAAAACGTGTTACAGTTGAACCTTACCTATCTAATCCATTTATCGAAAAAATGTGTTAGTATTGAACCTTAATTATCTAATCATCCATTTCCTTGTATCATCAAAATGATCATTCCCCACGAGTCATCTCAACCATTCCAAACATTTGTGAAATGAAAACTAACCAGATTAAATTCAACTATAATACCTTACTTTCATTCTTTGCCTAAAATCTTATTTCTTAGGGAGGCACCTGCAAAGGACACCGCTGTTTCTGAAAACAAGTAATTCACACGAGCATTACAACACCCTGTGTAGTTTACTCGCTAACCATTATTATTTTAAAAAAACTGGATTCTTATAATAATTAACAGCAGACAATGTTGCTTCTGCTTAACATATTATTTTTTCTCCGATTTCAATATTAATTTGACTAAGCATTACCTAACATTTCTTTTCTGATTCAACGTATTGAAATTGGTTTGTTTTGAAGCGACCCGCTGAGTGAAAGTCTACTAAATTATCAGCCTGATGTTAATAATTATTATTAATCAATTCGATTTTCATACAGTGATTTAGAAATGAACCAATCGTTGGTAGCCCTTTCTTTATGGTGTGTTCTATTCGGTTTGGTTATTTTCAGCTTGAAGTTTCATTTTATTCCAGCTTTTTATGCTTCTTTTTTTTCCTAACTTAAACATGCATATGGCCTGTGACGTCATTGATTCAGATATTTTAATGACGTCTCAAGTAGGCAGCGCTGAAAGGCAGAGCAGGAATTAAATGACGTTTTCAAGAATATCATTTTGAGGCTGCAGAGATAAAATTTTAATATTTGAAGTACGCAGCGCATTAAACTATTGTTTAAGAAAAACAATATTTTCCTAGTCCATCACATTTTCCCACCACTTTCATAATCTGAGTCACTAGTCATTGCCATTAATCAACGTCAACACCACACTCTTATTTTCGCCTTATGACCATTGTTCTCCTGCCTGTAGTCGTTGTCCATTTTATTTTTATCGTCATCATTATCATACTTTCATCATCATCATCATCATTACCATCGCCTATCCTACTTTTAGTCGACCTTTTCAACAGCGACAGCAACAACGTCATTTTCATAGATGTGGTACCAGCTACAAATTCCTGTCAACGAGGTCTTCAACATAAACTGTAAATTGCATGAATCATATGCCAGTAGCCATCATCATCATCATCATCATCATCATCATCATCATCATCATCATCATCATCATCATCATCATCATCATCATCATCATCATCACCATCATCGATAACGACAACAACAACATCAACAACAACAAAAGCAGCAACAACAATAGCAGAAGCAGCAGCTGTAGTGGCGGTAAAAAAACAGGATGCTACCATTTTACAATTCGAAGTCATCGGTCACGTTGGTCATGACATTTTCACGGCGACCATTAGTTACATTTCGCTACCTCAGAATTACAAAGTTCTATCTGCTCAGCATTTAGTTTTGAGAAATTGGACGTAAAAAATATTAGTTTCACAACATGTCTAGCTTTTTTAAATGCGGTTCTTTGAATATCTTGATAACGACCCCGAATATTCTTACGATTTTGATAAGGCAGATTGAGTATTTGGTTTCTGACTTCACGGTCTTAGTAACTCAAAATCACCAAAATTGTTTGATAGAACTTTTTAATTCTGAGGTAGAGATTTTATTCGTTTCTGTGTTCATCTTTTAATTTTTTCACACAACTTCACAAAAATTGTTGTCGTTCATCATCGCCGCCATTGTCATACTGTATTCCTTTCCCCCTCCAGACTCATCACTTTGCAATGATTTATCATGACATCTATTTCACAGACTAGCCTCCTCCTACCGCTACTAGTTCCCCCAGTCACAGTAAGCGACTCCTCATACGGTAAAATTCTTATCTACCCATTGATAGGCTACGAGTAGCGACCCAAACATAGCGAGCCAATAAAATACCCGGTCTGAACGTCTATGCTGCTTGAAATGGCTAATCATAGCCTTGCCTTGCGCTGTTACCAACCAAGCCTTTTAGCCTTTTAGTGTTCGCTTCTGTTCCCAACACCCCTCTTTTTTGTGTATTATACATCTGTCTGTCTAATTATAGCTCGCTCGCAACGCCATCTTCACATTCTGTGCGTTACCATGGAGACGTGAGAAACTCCCAGGGCACCGCCAGAAAAAGTCGCTCAAGTCGGCAAAGTCGTCGCTCCCTAAGATTTCTCTAAACAGGGGTAAACATCACTTTGGTTCCCCCCTTATACTTTAAACCTTTATTTTGTTTCGTTACCAAGTCTGAACCTTACTCTTCCATACGTTTCGCCCCCTTCAGACATGGACATTTGCGTTTTCTTTCATTTTCTTATTTTCTTAGAATCGATTTCTTTATTACTATTCTGATATCCATGATTCCTGTTTAAGGCAGTATTATATTTTTATCAGCTATTGAAATCAGTTTTTCTGCAGAATTTGTGGATTGGTAAGCTAATAATACATGTAGGCGGATTTGAATTCACGTCTTTCTACTATCCCTCAATTATAATTTTTTCTACCATTGTTTGCCCTCCCATTAGGGGTATTAAGCCGCTGTACTTTTTAATTGTTTTTGAAACTGGCCGCGTGTAAAGACTTTAAAATAGATACATGTATAGTCTTATAAAGAGATGAAGGAAACCAGTGCCAGGACCAAAAGTGTGCAACGCAACTTGTACTACTTTTGACGATTTTTTCCAATCAAACATATTTTTATCCCCATTTCATTCTCTTTGCTGTTTCTTTGTTTTGTTTTGCTTATTGTTTTGTTTATTTTTTCTCTTCTATTTTTTTTCTCTCAGAT